AGAGAATTCTAAAAATCTCAAAATTGTGACTTTTTCTCAAAAATCACAAAATTCAGACTTTTTTGCAAAAATCTCAAAAGTCAGTTTTTCTCAAAAGTTCTGACTTTTTCTCAAAAATTCTGACTTTTTCTCAAAAATTCTGACTTTTCTCAAAATCAAAAAATTCTAACTTTCTAAAAATCTCCAAAATCTGAGTTGTTCTCCAAAATCAGACTTCTTCTAAAAATTATGACTTTTTCTTAAAATTATGATTTTTTCAAAAAATTATGACTTTTTCTAAAAATTATGACTTGTTCAAAAATTATGCCTTTTTCTTAAAACTATGACTTGTTCTAAAAATTATGACTTTTTCTAAAAATTATGACTTTTTCTCAAAATTATGACTTTTTCTCAAAATCATGACTTTTTCTCTAAATCTAAAAATTATGACTTTCTCTGAATACTTAAAAAGTGTAATAATCAGTCGTCACCGGCTTGAGCTTCAATCTCAGGATCCATGTATCTGTGATCCTCTCCAGAATGGAAGTAGTCATCACATACAGAGCATCAACTAGTTCCTGAACAGTGTCCTTCACATGCTGATCCAAGAGAGGGAGTTACACAGTCACAAGATGGAGGAATAGAAAGCAGTATTCAATGTTTACTTCAGATTAGCTCCACGTCAGAAATGAGCATGCTTGTCATATGTCTCTCTCCATAGAGGCTGAATCATCATGTTAATCACATAGCTATCATATGCCTCAAACAGTCCTGATGCTCTTCTCGGTAATCATACATCCTGTCATGTACAAAATACTGACTTTTTTTCCAAAATGTTGGCTTTTTTTTCAAGAGAATTCTAAAAATCTCAAAATTGTGACTTTTTCTCAAAAATCACAAAATTCAGACTTTTTTGCAAAAATCTCAAAAGTCACTTTTTCTCAAAAATTCTGACTTTTTCTCAAAATCAAAAAATTCTAACTTTCTAAAAATCTCCAAAATCTGAGTTGTTCTCCAAAATCAGACTTCTTCTAAAAATTATGACTTTTTCTTAAAATTATGATTTTTTCAAAAAATTATGACTTTTTCTAAAAATTATGACTTGTTCAAAAATTATGCCTTTTTCTTAAAACTATGACTTGTTCTAAAAATTATGACTTTTTCTAAAAATTATGACTTTTTCTAAAAATTATGACTTTTTCTCAAAATTAAGACTTTTTCTCAAAATCATGACTTTTTCTCTAAATCTAAAAATTATGACTTTCTCTGAATACTTAAAAAGTGTAATAATCAGTCGTCACCGGCTTGAGCTTCAATCTCAGGATCCATGTATCTGTGATCCTCTCCAGAATGGAAGTAGTCATCACATACAGAGCATCAACTAGTTCCTGAACAGTGTCCTTCACATGCTGATCCAAGAGAGGGAGTTACACAGTCACAAGATGGAGGAATAGAAAGCAGTATTCAATGTTTACTTCAGATTAGCTCCACGTCAGAAATGAGCATGCTTGTCATATGTCTCTCTCCATAGAGGCTGAATCATCATGTTAATCACATAGCTATCATATGCCTCAAACAGTCCTGATGCTCTTCTAGGTAATCATACATCCTGTCATGTACAAAATACTGACTTTTTTTCCAAAATGTTGGCTTTTTTTTCAAGAGAATTCTAAAAATCTCAAAATTGTGACTTTTTCTCAAAAATCACAAAATTCAGACTTTTTTGCAAAAATCTCAAAAGTCAGTTTTTCTCAAAAGTTCTGACTTTTTCTCAAAAATTCTGACTTTTTCTCAAAAATTCTGACTTTTTCTCAAAATCAAAAAATTCTAACTTTCTAAAAATCTCCAAAATCTGAGTTGTTCTCCAAAATCAGACTTCTTCTAAAAATTATGATTTTTTCAAAAAATTATGACTTTTTCTAAAAATTATGACTTGTTCAAAAATTATGCCTTTTTCTTAAAACTATGACTTGTTCTAAAAATTATGACTTTTTCTAAAAATTATGACTTTTTCTAAAAATTATGACTTTTTCTCAAAATCATGACTTTTTCTCTAAATCTAAAAATTATGACTTTCTCTGAATACTTAAAAAGTGTAATAATCAGTCGTCACCGGCTTGAGCTTCAATCTCAGGATCCATGTATCTGTGATCCTCTCCAGAATGGAAGTAGTCATCACATACAGAGCATCAACTAGTTCCTGAACAGTGTCCTTCACATGCTGATCCAAGAGAGGGAGTTACACAGTCACAAGATGGAGGAATAGAAAGCAGTATTCAATGTTTACTTCAGATTAGCTCCACGTCAGAAATGAGCATGCTTGTCATATGTCTCTCTCCATAGAGGCTGAATCATCATGTTAATCACATAGCTATCATATGCCTCAAACAGTCCTGATGCTCTTCTCGGTAATCATACATCCTGTCATGTACAAAATACTGACTTTTTTTCCAAAATGTTGGCTTTTTTTTCAAGAGAATTCTAAAAATCTCAAAATTGTGACTTTTTCTCAAAAATCACAAAATTCAGACTTTTTTGCAAAAATCTCAAAAGTCACTTTTTCTCAAAAATTCTGACTTTTTCTCAAAAATTCTGACTTTTTCTCAAAAATTCTGACTTTTTCTCAAAATCAAAAAATTCTAACTTTCTAAAAATCTCCAAAATCTGAGTTGTTCTCCAAAATCAGACTTCTTCTAAAAATTATGACTTTTTCTTAAAATTATGATTTTTTTCAAAAAATTATGACTTTTTCTAAAAATTATGACTTGTTCAAAAATTATGCCTTTTTCTTAAAACTATGACTTGTTCTAAAAATTATGACTTTTTCTAAAAATTATGACTTTTTCTAAAAATTATGACTTTTTCTCAAAATCATGACTTTTTCTCTAAATCTAAAAATTATGACTTTCTCTGAATACTTAAAAAGTGTAATAATCAGTCGTCACCGGCTTGAGCTTCAATCTCAGGATCCATGTATCTGTGATCCTCTCCAGAATGGAAGTAGTCATCACATACAGAGCATCAACTAGTTCCTGAACAGTGTCCTTCACATGCTGATCCAAGAGAGGGAGTTACACAGTCACAAGATGGAGGAATAGAAAGCAGTATTCAATGTTTACTTCAGATTAGCTCCACGTCAGAAATGAGCATGCTTGTCATATGTCTCTCTCCATAGAGGCTGAATCAACATGTTAATCACATAGCTATCATATGCCTCAAACAGTCCTGATGCTCTTCTCGGTAATCATACATCCTGTCATGTACAAAATACTGACTTTTTTTCCAAAATGTTGGCTTTTTTTTCAAGAGAATTCTAAAAATCTCAAAATTGTGACTTTTTCTCAAAAATCACAAAATTCAGACTTTTTTGCAAAAATCTCAAAAGTCAGTTTTTCTCAAAAGTTCTGACTTTTTCTCAAAAATTCTGACTTTTTCTCAAAATCAAAAAATTCTAACTTTCTAAAAATCTCCAAAATCTGAGTTGTTCTCCAAAATCAGACTTCTTCTAAAAATTATGATTTTTTCAAAAAATTATGACTTTTTCTAAAAATTATGACTTGTTCAAAAATTATGCCTTTTTCTTAAAACTATGACTTGTTCTAAAAATTATGACTTTTTCTAAAAATTATGACTTTTTCTAAAAATTATGACTTTTTCTCAAAATCATGACTTTTTCTCTAAATCTAAAAATTATGACTTTCTCTGAATACTTAAAAAGTGTAATAATCAGTCGTCACCGGCTTGAGCTTCAATCTCAGGATCCATGTATCTGTGATCCTCTCCAGAATGGAAGTAGTCATCACATACAGAGCATCAACTAGTTCCTGAACAGTGTCCTTCACATGCTGATCCAAGAGAGGGAGTTACACAGTCACAAGATGGAGGAATAGAAAGCAGTATTCAATGTTTACTTCAGATTAGCTCCACGTCAGAAATGAGCATGCTTGTCATATGTCTCTCTCCATAGAGGCTGAATCAACATGTTAATCACATAGCTATCATATGCCTCAAACAGTCCTGATGCTCTTCTAGGTAATCATACATCCTGTCATGTACAAAATACTGACTTTTTTTCCAAAATGTTGGCTTTTTTTTCAAGAGAATTCTAAAAATCTCAAAATTGTGACTTTTTCTCAAAAATCACAAAATTCAGACTTTTTTGCAAAAATCTCAAAAGTCAGTTTTTCTCAAAAGTTCTGACTTTTTCTCAAAAATTCTGACTTTTTCTCAAAATCAAAAAATTCTAACTTTCTAAAAATCTCCAAAATCTGAGTTGTTCTCCAAAATCAGACTTCTTCTAAAAATTATGACTTTTTCTTAAAATTATGATTTTTTCAAAAAATTATGACTTTTTCTAAAAATTATGACTTGTTCAAAAATTATGCCTTTTTCTTAAAACTATGACTTGTTCTAAAAATTATGACTTTTTCTAAAAATTATGACTTTTTCTAAAAATTATGACTTTTTCTCAAAATCATGACTTTTTCTCTAAATCTAAAAATTATGACTTTCTCTGAATACTTAAAAAGTGTAATAATCAGTCGTCACCGGCTTGAGCTTCAATCTCAGGATCCATGTATCTGTGATCCTCTCCAGAATGGAAGTAGTCATCACATACAGAGCATCAACTAGTTCCTGAACAGTGTCCTTCACATGCTGATCCAAGAGAGGGAGTTACACAGTCACAAGATGGAGGAATAGAAAGCAGTATTCAATGTTTACTTCAGATTAGCTCCACGTCAGAAATGAGCATGCTTGTCATATGTCTCTCTCCATAGAGGCTGAATCATCATGTTAATCACATAGCTATCATATGCCTCAAACAGTCCTGATGCTCTTCTAGGTAATCATACATCCTGTCATGTTCACAGCTACAGTTGGGATACCTTTGTTAGCATGTTACTCTCATGTTGGAAGAGGACATTCAGGATTTTCCCAACAATATCTTTCCCGCAGAATCCACATGAATTGTTATCCCAATTAAATGTCTGACTTCCTGTCTGTCTTCCTGTCCTCCTCAGTGTCCTTCCTGGGCGTCATGTGCAGCCGAGCTCTGCTCAACAAGAGTCGTGGGGAGGAGATAATGGGCGAATGTCCTCTTCCCGCCATCAAAGTGTCTCTTGATTGGCTCAGACTGAGACCCAGCGTCTTCCACGAGGCCGCCGTCGACCAGAGGACGCAGTGAGTTTCTGTTTAATAACCCCCTTTCTGTGGGGAGTGGGTCTGAGACGCAAAGAAACCATGAGAGGAAGCGAGAAACTGTGTTTTAAGAGCAATGAGACGTCGTTTCCTCGGAGCGTCACGCTGTGTGTGTCCGTCAGGCGTCACGCTGTGTGTGTCCGTCAGGCGTCACGTTGTGCGTGTCCGTCAGGCGTCACGCTGTGCGTGTCCGTCAGGCGTCACGCTGTGCGTGTCCGTCAGGCGTCACGCTGTGCGTGTCCGTCAGGCGTCACGTTGTGCGTGTCCGTCAGGCGTCACGTTGTGCGTGTCCGTCAGGCGTCACGCTGTGCGTGTCCGTCAGGCGTCACGTTGTGCGTGTCCGTCAGGCGTCACGCTGTGCGTGTCCGTCAGGCGTCACGCTGTGCGTGTCCGTCAGGCGTCACGCTGTGCGCGTGTCCGTCAGGCGTCACGCTGTGCGCGTGTCCGTCAGGCGTCACGCTGTGTGCGTGTCAGTCAGGCGTCACGCTGTGCGTGTCCGTCAGGCGTCACGCTGTGCGTGTCCGTCAGGCGTCACGTTGTGCGTGTCCGTCAGGCGTCACGCTGTGTGCGTGTCCGTCAGGCGTCACGCTGTGTGCGTGTCCGTCAGGCGTCACGCTGTGTGCGTGTCCGTCAGGCGTCGCGCTGTGCGTGTCCGTCAGGCGTCGCGCTGTGCGTGTCCGTCAGGCGTCGCGCTGTGCGTGTCCGTCAGGCGTCACGCTGTGCGTGTCAGTCAGGCGTCGCGCTGTGCGTGTCCGTCAGGCGTCGTGCTGTGTGTGTGTCCGTCAGGAGTCGCGCTGTGTGTGTGTCCGTCAGGAGTCGCGCTGTGTGTGTGTCCGTCAGGCGTCGCGCTGTGCGTGTCCGTCAGGCGTCGCGCTGTGCGTGTCCGTCAGGCGTCGCGCTGTGCGTGTCCGTCAGGCGTCACGCTGTGCGTGTCAGTCAGGCGTCACGCTGTGCGCGTGTCCGTCAGGCGTCGCGCTGTGCGTGTCCGTCAGGCGTCGTGCTGTGTGTGTGTCCGTCAGGAGTCGCGCTGTGTGTGTGTCCGTCAGGAGTCGCGCTGTGTGTGTCCGTCAGGCGTCGCGCTGTGCGTGTCCGTCAGGCGTCGCGCTGTGCGTGTCCGTCAGGCGTCGCGCTGTGCGTGTCCGTCAGGCGTCACGCTGTGTGCGTGTCCGTCAGGCGTCACGCTGTGCGTGTCCGTCAGGCGTCACGCTGTGTGCGTGTCCGTCAGGCGTCACGCTGTGTGCGTGTCCGTCAGGCGTCACGTTGTGCGTGTCCGTCAGGCGTCACGCTGTGCGTGTCCGTCAGGCGTCACGTTGTGCGTGTCCGTCAGGCGTCACGCTGTGCGTGTCCGTCAGGCGTCACGCTACGCTGTGCGTGTCCGTCAGGCGTCACGCTGTGCGTGTCCGTCAGGCGTCACGCTGTGCGTGTCCATCAGGCGTCACGCTGTGCGTGTCCGTCAGGCGTCACGCTGTGCGCGTGTCAGTCAGGCGTCACGCTGTGCGCGTGTCCGTCAGGCGTCACGCTGTGCGTGTCCGTCAGGCGTCGCGCTGTGTGTGTGTCCGTCAGGAGTCGCGCTGTGTGTGTGTCCGTCAGGCGTCGCGCTGTGTGTGTGTCCGTCAGGAGTCGCGCTGTGTGTGTCCGTCAGGAGTAGGGATGGGTATCGTTTGAAATTTATCGATTCCGATTCCGGTTCTTATCGATTCCCCGTTTCGATTCCAAAATTGTAAAAGAAAGAGGTCAAACGTTTAGATAACAAAAATATCTTTATTCAGGGTGCGTACGGGTGCTGGAAATCCTTGAAAATGCTTGAAATTGTACGAGGTGTTTTCAAGGTTTGAAAAGTGCTTGAATTTTGGGAATGGTGCTTGAATTTGGGATAAAGTGCTTGAAATTGTAAATGCTTTACTTCGCTTTTTAGATTAAAAGAGAATAAAGAAGTCGGAGCGCGCTTAATTGCTTCGCTTTTACATAAAACAGCTCCGCTCCGGCCTTCCCGCGCAATGCGCGTGACCGGCAAGTGTTTGTGTTACGTGTGTGACCTGGGCATTCTGATGAGAGTGATAGATGACAGTATGCCAGGAGGTTGCCGTTTCAACGAGCGTTGGCTAGCAGAAGACAAATACAAGCCATGGCTAAGACGAGGGTCAAGCGAAGCCCAAGAGGAGCCTCCTGCAAAGTGTGCAACAATAACGATGCGAGAGTCTGCGCTGACGAGCCACACACCACACGAAAGGTACGCTGTAGTAGCGCATTTTAGATTAGGCTATCGTTGCATGTAAAATACATGACACTTTTCTCTGTGCGGCAAAACAAGCTCGCCAAAATGGCTTCACTAGTCTGGCAGTATTTTAAGTGTCCGAAAGTGACAATAAAATAGCGGTATGCAACGTGTGTGTGAAGCAGAAATCCTGCAGCTCCACCCGCTGTGACGGACCGGTGAGCGGAGCAGAACACACATTAAGAGTTAGACCTAACACACTTAGCTATTTGATCTACCTCTGGAACAAGCTGATTCCGGCGATCGGCCCCAAAATTGGCGATCGGAGCATCCCTAATAATTGTATATGATATGTTTTATAATGATTGATCATGAAAGTGTTCTCAAAGCTGGTAAAGGTGCAGCTAGTTTGAATGACTTTGTATACTACAGAGTAGCTTGTGGATTTACTCCAGGTGGAACTAAAGTCTGATTTAACACTTGATTAGATTTCACATCATTCATCCAGATCTGTGAAGTAACTAAAGGGATTAAATACATGTAGTGGAGTCAAAGTACACCATGTACCTCTGACTTGTGTTTACTGCCAACCTAAAAGTACCTCAAAAATAGTAATCAATAATATATTGAAAAGTTATTTGGCTGATTGTTTTATATTGGCTCAGCCAGGTTATATGGGATGCCCAGTCTACGTACAGATGGGTCTCATTTTGAAATATTAAACTTAGTTTTCTTTTCTAACATTTTTAATTTTTCATCCTCATGTAGAATGCTATTATGAAACACACATTTGGTTGTTTATAGCATAAAGAACATCTGATTTAATGTGAGGTAGGGAAATAATCATTTGAGTATAAGTATGTGTATATAAATATGTAATTTACAACAGCAGTAAGATGCTTGAAAAGCTTGAAAATGCACCTTGAAAATGCTTGAAAAGTGCTTGAATTTGGACTTTGGAAAAGGTGTAAGAACCCTGTTTATTCTTTTAAGCTTTAACTGACATTTTTACAAATAAAAAATATACATGCAATACAAATGTATTGCACAATAGCTGTGCTTTATTTGAACTGAGCCTGTGGCAAGCTATCAACAGGCATTACTCTGTGCCTTGTCTTTTTCTGTTTCAGTGGAGCCTCACTTTAGAGCGTTTACCGCGACCCATCTTTGGTGTTATGAAGTGACTGAGCTCGTGAACTGTCTACGGGAGGGCGGGGGGAGCCTCGCTGCGGGAGGGCGGGGAGGGCGGGGGGAGCCTCGCTGCGGGAGGGCGGGGGGAGCCTCGCTGCGGGGCAACTGTGGACCTCTGTCGCCTGTCAGCGCAACTTACATGATGCCGTTTTAAAAAATGGGGGGCGGTGCCGGCCGTCAGCGTACCGAGCCGGCCGTTCTGTGATTCTCCAGAACACACAGATGGCCAGTCCCCGTATTCCACCGGGCACATCGGCGCCGCGGTGCAGACGGGCCCGGTGGAATACAGGGTCTACCGCGTTTAGGAACCGTTAAGCAGAACCGAAATTGTGTATTTTATACGGGTACCTGGTACCCGGCATTTTCTTATCGGTTCTCATCTGGAACCGATTTACAAAAAAGAAACACCATTTAATATCTTTTGAGTTTTATGTTTATATTTGTAATCCAAGAGATGCTGATTGTTGTTACCTGCAGTCACGGCATTTCCTGTTTCTGCCAGAGAGAGGAGTTTGTTCCAAAGCCTCGTGCTGTTTTTACCCTCCATCTGAGAGGAGGAGCCTCATTGAGCTGCGAGTGTCACTCCCTCACAGAGAGGGAGTGGGTAGGGAGAGGTTTGGAATTGGGCCTTAAGGTGTGGAAGTTTAACTCCTCTTCCTCTCTCTCAGTATCTGGCCCTGGCTCGTCTCCATCCTCAACAGTTTCCAGCCCAAAGAGGACGACGTGACCTGCCCCTCAGGTACCACACACACACACACACACACACACACACACACACACACACACACACACACACACACACACACACACACACACACACACACACACACACACACACCTGTAAACTCTCTTAACCTGCCCCTCAGGTACCACACACACACACACACACACCTTTAAACTGTCTTAACCTGCCCCTCAGGTACCACACACACACACACACACACACACACACACACACACCTGTAAACTGTCTTAACCTGCCCCTCAGGTACCACACACACACACACACACACACACACACACACACACACACACACACACACACACACACACACACACACACCTGTAAACTGTCTTAACCTGCCCCTCAGGTACCACACACACACACACACACACACCTTTAAACTGTCTTAACCTGCCCCTCAGGTACCACACACACACACCTTCAAACTGTCGTGACCTGCCCCTCAGGTACCACACACACACACACCTTTAAACTGTCTTAACCTGCCCCTCAGGTACCACACACACACACACACCTTTAAACTGTTGTGACCTGCCCCTCAGGTACCACACACACACACACACACCTTTAAACTGTCTTAACCTGCCCCTCAGGTACCACACACACACACACACCTTTAAACTGTCTTAACCTGCCCCTCAGGTACCACACACACACACACCTTTAAACTGTCTTAACCTGCCCCTCAGGTACCACACACACACACACACACACACACACCTTTAAACTGTCGTGACCTGCCCCTCAGGTACCCACACACACACACACACACCTTTAAACTGTCGTGACCTGCCCCTCAGGTACCACACACACACACACACACACACACACCTTTAAACTGTCGTGACCTGCCCCTCAGGTACCACACACACACACACACACACACACACACACACACACACCTTTAAACTGTCTTAACCTGCCCCTCAGGTACCACACACACACACACACCTTTAAACTGTCGTGACCTGCCCCTCAGGTACCACACACACACACCTTTAAACTGTCGTGACCTGCCCCTCAGGTACCACACACACACACCTTTAAACTGTCGTGACCTGCCCCTCAGGTACCACACACACACACACCTTTAAACTGTCTTAACCTGCCCCTCAGGTACCACACACACACACACACACACACACACACACCTTTAAACTGTCGTGACCTGCCCCTCAGGTACCACACACACACACACCTTTAAACTGTCTTAACCTGCCCCTCAGGTACCACACACACACACCACAACACTTTAAACTGTCGTGACCTGCCCCTCAGGTACCACACACACCTTTAAACTGTCTTAACCTGCCCCTCAGGTACCACACACACACACACCTTTAAACTGTCTTAACCTGCCCCTCAGGTACCACACACACACACACACACCCTTTAAACTGTCTTAACCTGCCCCTCAGGTACCACACACACACACCTTTAAACTGTCTTAACCTGCCCCTCAGGTACCACACACACACACACCTTTAAACTGTCTTAACCTGCCCCTCAGGCACCACACACACACACACACACACACACCTTTAAACTGTCTTAACCTGCCCCTCAGGTACCACACACACACACACACACACACACACACACACACCACACACACCTTTAAACTGTCTTAACCTGCCCCTCAGGCACCACACACACACACACACACACACACACACACCTTTAAACTGTCTTAACCTGCCCCTCAGGTACCACACACACACACCTTTAAACTGTCGTGACCTGCCCCTCAGGTACCACACACACACACACACACACACACACCTTTAAACTGTCTTAACCTGCCCCTCAGGTACCACACACACACACACACACCTTTTAAAACTGTCTTAACCTGCCCCTCAGGTACCACACACACACACACCTTTAAACTGTCGTGACCTGCCCCTCAGGTACCACACACACACACACACACACACACACACACACACACACCTTTAAACTGTCTTAACCTGCCCCTCAGGTACCACACACACACACCTTTAAACTGTCTTAACCTGCCCCTCAGGTACCACACACACACACACACCCTTTAAACTGTCTTAACCTGCCCCTCAGGTACCACACCACCACACACACCTTTAAACTGTCGGTTGACCCTGTGCCCCTCAGGTACCACACACACACACCTTTAAACTGTCTTACCTGCCCCTCAGGACCACAACCACCACACACACACACAGGCCTTAAAAATGTCTTACCTGCCCCTTCAGGTACCACACACACCACACACACCTTATACACTGTCTAGTAACCTGCCCCTCAGGTACACACACACACACACACACACCTTTAAACTGTCTTAACCTGCCCCTCAGGTCCCACACACACACACACACACACCTTTAAACTGTCTTAACCTGCCCCTCAGGTACCACACACACACACACACACCTTTAAACTGTCTTAACCTGCCCCTCAGGTACCACACACACACACACACACCTTTAAACTGTCTTAACCTGCCCCTCAGGTACCACACACACACACACACACCTTTAAACTGTCTTAACCTGCCCCTCAGGTACCACACACACACACACACCTTTAAACTGTCTTAACCTGCCCCTCAGGTACCACACACACACACACACACACCTTTAAACTGTCTTAACCTGCCCCTCAGGTACCACACACACACACACCACACCTTTAAACTGTCTTAACCTGCCCCTCAGGTACCACACACACACACACACCTTTAAACTGTCTTAACCTGCCCCTCAGGTACCACACACACACACCTTTAAACTGTCTTAACCTGCCCCTCAGTGTACCACACACACACACCACACCTTTAAACTGTCTTAACTGCCCCTCAGGTACCACACACACACACACCTTTAAACTGTCTTAACCTGCCCCTCAGGTACCACACCCACACACACACACACACACCTTTAAACTGTCTTAACCTGCCCCTCAGGTACCACACACACACACACCTTTAAACTGTCTTAACCTGCCCCTCAGGTACCACACACACACACCTTTAAACTGTCTTAACCTGCCCCTCAGGTACCACACACACACACACACCTTTAAACTGTCTTCACCTGCCCCTCAGGTACCACACACACACACACACACCTTTAAACTGTCTTAACCTGCCCCTCAGGTACCACACACACACACACACACACACACTTAAACTGTCTTAACCTGCCCCTCAGGTACCACACACACACACACCCTTTAAACTGTCTTAACCTGCCCCTCAGGTACCACACACACACACCTTTAAACTGTCCTAACCTGCCCCTCAGGTACCACACACACACCACCTTTCAACTGTCTTAACCTGCCCCCTTCAGGTACCACACACACACACACACCTTTTTAAACTGTCTTTAACCTGCCCCTCAGGTACCACACACACACACCACACTTTAAACTGTCTTAAACCTGGCCCACTCAGGTCCCACACACACACACACCTTTAAACTGTCCTGGGTCCTAACCTGCCCCTCAGGTACCACAACACTACACCACACCTTTAAAACTGTCTTAACCTTCCCCTCAGGTACCACACACACACCACACACACACCTTTAAACACTGTCTTTAACCTGCCCTCAGTACCACACACACCACTAACACACACCTTTAAACTGTCTTAACCTGCCCCTCAGGTACCACACACACACACACACCTTTAAACTGTCTTAACCTGCCCCTCAGGTACCACACACACACACCTTTAAACTGTCTTAACCTGCCCCTCAGGTACCACACACACACACACACCTTTAAACTGTCCTAACCTGCCCCTCAGGTACCACACACACACCTTTAAACTGTCTTAACCTGCCCCTCAGGTACCACACACACACACACACACCTTTAAACTGTCTTAACCTGCCCCTCAGGTACCCCACACACACACCTTTAAACTGTCTTAACCTGCCCCTCAGGTACCACACACACACACACACCTTTAAACTGTCTTAACCTGCCCCTCAGGTCCCACACACACACACACCTTTAAACGGTCCTAACCTGCCCCTCAGGTACCACACACACACACCTTTAAACTGTCTTAACCTGCCCCTCAGGTACCACACACACACACACACCTTTAAACTGTCTTAACCTGCCCTCAGGTACCACACACACACACACACCACACACACACCTTTAAACTGTCTTAACCTGCCCCTCAGGTACCACACACACACACACACACCTTTAAACTGTCTTAACCTGCCCCTCAGGTACCACACACCACACACACACACCTTTAAACTGTCTTAACCTGCCCCTCAGGTACCACACACACACACACACACCTTTAAACTGTCTTAACCTGCCCCTCAGGTACCACACACACACACCTTTAAACTGTCTTAACCTGCCACTCAGGTACCACACACACACACACCTTTAAACTGTCTTAACCTGCCACTCAGGTACCACACACACACACACACCTTTAAACTGTCTTAAGCATGTCATTATGTTTGTTTTCACCAAGAGGCACATTGCTGAATGATATATTCATTTAGTAGACGAATAGTCAAGAAAGCTAAACCCAACTTTGTGATTAAATATATTAATAATACATGTATATTTACATAAACCCAAGGACGCTTACACAGAAAACCAACCACAGCGCTACGATGTATAATAATAATGATATGGTGGTGCTGTTGGTGCTGAAGGTGTGTTTGTTTCCTCCGAAGTGACGCCCCTGCCGGAGGAGTTTGAGCTGCAGGGTTTCCTGGCGCTGCGTCCCGCTCTCAGGTAATACACTAATAAATCGTGTGTGTGTGTGTTTGTGTGTGACCTGGGTGTTCATGCGACGAGTTTCCTGGGTGTGTGTGTTACCTGGGTGTTAATGTGTGCTGCTGCTTCAGGTCCCTGGACTTCACTAAAGGACATCAAGGAATCCTTGTGGACCGGGACGGGCTGCCGCTGCAGACCCGCCACCAGAGGCTCATCAGCCTGGGGAAGTGGGTCGCCGACAACCAGCCGGGGTGAGAGAGACACTATTTATTCACACACTGATAAACAATCATAACTCAGAGTACAGGGAGGCAGGGATGTTGGTTTCTGTGTTGGTCCCTGAAGGCATCATCTCCCTCGTCCAATGGAATTCCTCCATCTGATTTTGGATTATGTCAGAAAATAATCTCAATCGTTTATGATACTAACACCACTTTGGCGGCAACACCCTATGGCACACGCAGTGAATAACACCCAATGGTGCTGTAGTTCCTTTATAGCCCAACATTAGCCTCCTTTAGCTTAGCGGTGGTGACGTGAAGTCATGTGACCGTGCTGTAGTTCCTTTATAGCCCAACATTAGCCTCCTTTAGCTTAGCGGTGGTGACGTGAAGTCATGTGACCGTGCTGTAGTTCCTCTATAGCCCAATGTATACGAACACCACTTTGGCCCTAGGCAATAAGACAGTGACACAGTGAATAACACCCAATGGTGACCGCTTAAAACCTGATGACCTTGCATTAAACTTGCCTCCTCTCTGCAGTTTGATCCAGTGCAGCGTGAGTGAAGATGGTCTCCTCCTCTTCATCACCGATATCCCCGAGCAGGCCATCGAGGAGCCGCTGGAGAAAGAGAAGGAGGCGCCGGTTCTTCAGGAGTCGTCTAACGCCGAGCAGCAGCCCAACGACGGGTTAGGGAACTCCGGTTTGAAGTCTGTGCTTTCAGCGGGGAAGACGCAGAGCTCGTGGCCCGACGGTGGAGAACGGCCCGTCGTCACCTTCAAGGAAAACATCAAACCCCGAGAGCCGAGTCGCAGTCAGCAGCTGAAGGACAGCGGGAAGGAGAGGCGAGACTTCAACAAGGGGAACGGGGTTGCTGCTGGGAAAACGGAGCCGAAGAGAGAGAGAGACGGCAAGAGGAAGAGCGAGATGAAGAAAGCCCCGCACGAGAAAACAGCCGACGCCGGGAAACAGGTGCGAACACTCTTACATTAAGTCTTACAATAGCCGCTTTCACACCAAGTACTTTGCCGTACTTAGTGCCCGGTACTTAGTACCCCCATGAGAAGCTGCTGGGACTCCCAGCATTCAGTTATTCTCTCTCCGTTGGTGCGCGGGGCTAATGCTAATAATGCTAATGCCAACAAATACAATGGCGGCTTCACAAATCTTTTACGGGGCGTGGTTTGCAATTCTCCCAGCCAATCTAAATTGGTACTTTTTTCTCCCCAGGATAGTCCCACCTCTCTAGCAGGCACTAACAATGGGGGTAAAAGTTCTTTGGAACTAAGTTCTCTTTTTGGTTTGAACGCAACATTCCAGGCACTATCGGAACTAAACGGGAAAAGTACTCCGGTGTGAACGCGCCTAATACCTTTCACAAGTTAGGGAGGTTCCAACAAGTCCTGGAAACCTTTTAGGGGAATACAATTAAACGCAGAATGGGAGGAGGGAGAGAGGGGGGAGGGGAGAGACGAGATTGAGGAAAGAAAGTCAGAATTTTGAGATTTTGAGAAAAAAGTCAGAATTTTGAGGGAAAAAAGTCAGGATTTTCAGAAAAAAGTCAGAATTTTCAGATTTTCAGAAAAATATAGATAAATAATATGTTTTGTGCGTACCTCCTGTGATTTACTCTTTATGTTTAACTATATATCAGAAATTGCTGTCAGAAACAATGAGACGTGTTCTGGAAGTAATATGGTCTGTGTTTACATTAGCATGCTAACACTCAGAGCTAACCTGTACTGGAGAGAGCATGTGTGGAGAAGCAGGAAATCAAAGGAAGTCACCTTGTGGTAACCTGAGAGAGAGAAAGAGTTTGAGCTCCATGCTGTTTCAGAGAGAATCCTTCATGTGGTTTGGAACATGATATGGAGTTTCATCACGGCAGCATTTAGCTGAGTTATGAGTGTACCTCTGCCTGTCCTCTGCCTGTCCTCTGCCTGTCCTCTCCATGTCCTCTGCCTGTCCTCTCCATGTCCTCTGCCTGTCCTCTGCCTGTCCTCTGCCTGTCCTCTGCCTGTCCTCTGCCTGTCCTCTCCATGTCCTCTGCCTGTCCTCTGCCTGTCCTCTGCCTGTCCTCTGCCTGTCCTCTCCATGTCCTCTGCCTGTCCTCTGCCTGTCCTCTGCCTGTCCTCTGCCTGTCCTCTGCCTGTCCTCTCCATGTCCTCTGCCTGTCCTCTGCCTGTCCTCTCCATGTCCTCTGCCTGTCCTCTGCCTGTCCTCTGCCTGTCCTCTGCCTGTCCTCTGCCTGTCCTCTGCCTGTCCTCTCCATGTCCTCTGCCTGTCCTCTGCCTGTCCTCTCCATGTCCTCTCCATGTCCTCTCCATGTCCTCTGCCTGTCCTCTGCCTGTCCTCTCCATGTCCTCTGCCTGTCCTCTGCCTGTCCTCTGCCTGTCCTCTGCCTGTCCTCTCCATGTCCTCTGCCTGTCCTCTCCATGTCCTCTGCCTGTCCTCTCCATGTCCTCTGCCTGTCCTCTGCCTGTCCTCTGCCTGTCCTCTGCCTGTCCTCTCCATGTCCTCTGCCTGTCCTCTCCATGTCCTCTGCCTGTCCTCTGCCTGTCCTCTGCCTGTCCTCTCCATGTCCTCTGCCTGTCCTCTCCATGTCCTCTGCCTGTCCTCTCCATGTCCTCTGCCTGTCCTCTGCCTGTCCTCTCCATGTCCTCTGCCTGTCCTCTGCCTGTCCTCTGCCTGTCCTCTCCATGTCCTCTGCCTGTCCTCTCCATGTCCTCTGCCTGTCCTCTGCCTGTCCTCTCCATGTCCTCTGCCTGTCCTCTCCATGTCCTCTGCCTGTCCTCTCCATGTCCTCTGCCTGTCCTCTCCATGTCCTCTCCATGTCCTCTCCATGTCCTCTGCCTGTCCTCTCCATGTCCTCTGCCTGTCCTCTCCATGTCCTCTGCCTGTCCTCTGCGCTGCTGCTCTAACTGTTTTGATTTCTGTCGGCCATGTCTTCAGGTGAAGGCTCAGACGGAGCTGAGGAAGACTCCAGTGTCCGAGGCCAAGAAGACACCTGTCACTCAAACTCAGACCCAGACCCAGACTCAGTTCATCCCCATCCACCATCCAGGAGCCTTCCCCCCCCTACCCAGCAGACCTGGTACACACACACACACACTGTCGCATACACACACACACACACATAGAGACAACCACACACACACACACTGTCACACACACACGCACATAGAGACAACCACACACACACACACACACTGTCGCATACACACACACACACTGTCACATACACACACACACACTGTCGCATACACACACACACACTGTCGCATACACACACACACTGTCGCATACACACACACACACTGTCGCATACACACACACACTGTCGCATACACACACACACTGTCGCATACACACACACACACTGTCGCATACACACACACACGCACATAGAGACAACCACACACACACACACACTGTCACACACACACTGTCGCATACACACACACACACACTGTCGCATACACACACACACACTGTCACACACTCTGTCACACACACACACACACACTGTCGCATACACACTCACACAAACACACACACACACACACAAACAAACACACTGTCACATACACACACACACAAACAAACAAATGCACACACACACAAACACACACACACACGCAAACACACTGTCGCATACACACACACACACACACACACACACACACGCAAACACACTGTCGCATACACACACACACACACACACACACAAACACGCAAACACACACGCAAACACACACGCAAACACACTGTCGCACACACACACACACACACACACACACACACACACACACACACACACACACACAGTGACGTAATTGTAATACACGTGTTAAAAGTATGTTGAATAATACCAACATTAACACTCCTCTCTCCCCTCTTCTCCCCTGCAGGTTTCCCCCCCTCTGCCTATGTGATCCCCCCCCCGGTGGGCTTCCCTGGTCTGCAGGTGAACCCCGGCTTCACCTTCTCCTCCGGGGTCTCCGTGCCCCCCTTCCTGCAGGCGGGGGTGCTCAGCCAGCAGGGGGTCCAGGGGGGTGGGAAGCCGTCTCACATCCCCTACAGCCAGCAGAGACCCTCAGGACCCCCTCAGGGACCAGGAGCCTCGGGGGGGCAACAGCAGCTGCAGGTCCAGGCCATGAACCAGAACCAGAACCACCAGCAGCAGCAGCAGAGCCCCACCAAACCAGGGGGGCAGCAGATGGGGAAGAGCCCCCCCCACCACCCAGGGCTGCAGCAGGTCAGTGAGATCAATCATACAGTGAAGCGGGCGAGACCCCGGGCATTAAGGTCAACTGTACTCAGTGTGTGTGTGTGTGTGTGTGTGTGTGTGTGTGTGTGTGTGTGTGTGTGTGTGTGTGTGTGTGTGTGTGTGTGTGTGTGTGTGTGTGTGTGTGTGTGTGTGTGTGTGTGTGTGTGTGTGTGTGTGTGTGTGTGTGTGTGTGTGTGTGTGTGTGTGTGTGTGTGTGTAGTACATGCAGGAGCAGCCGGCTCAGATGTGGTCTCAGGCCCAGGCGGCGCTGCAGAATCTGTCTCCGATGCAGATGTCCATGAAGCAGCCTCCCCCCCCCCAGCAGGGCTTCTACATGACCCCCGACCCCCTGAAGATGTACGAGCACCAGCTGCAGCCCCCCGCCCCCCCCCCCGCAGCTCTCCATGGACAAGAAGATGAAGTTCCCCAGCGTGAAGATGCAGGACTTCTACTGGGAGCCGTCCTACAGGATGGGAGAGGGGCTGGCAGTGATGGCCGACCGCATGAAGAGGGCCCCGCCGGGGGGGATGTGCTCCGAGCAGGAGGGCCAACAGGGGCCCCGCGGACCCCCGTTTGAGGTGAGTCCGTCTCCTCTATAGAGTGGTGCAGTGATGAGTCCTATAACCAGGAAGTGAGTCAGCATCTCACTACTTCCTGTTCCCTGGTCTCAGAGCCAATAGGATCTCTCCATAGGATATCTGTAAACAAGGTCTGAGGTTGAGACACGTTGAAGAGACGGATCACGTTTTGTTCTAGGACATTAAATCCATCAGCAGTGACCCCACTGGTGATTTCTGAAGAGTTGACGTGTCTGAGAAGCGATGGTTGTTACCAAGTGGCTGAATAGGACTACAGAAGTCGTGGTCGTTGTACGTCATTACGCCGAACACGTGAACACTCCTCTAAGTTAGTTTGCCCTGTTCTGCTTGAAAGCAAGTCCCTGCCTCCTGCTAACTGTTCAAACAAACGCTTCAACTCGTACCATTTAGAATCTGTGTGTTTGAATATGGATCTGAAGTTGGCGTGACGTTGAAGTCGTGCTGCTGGACTCGGCTGTAGTTCCTTTATAGCATCACGTTAGCATTTAGCTTCTGGACTTTAGAGTTATGATTAGAACATTATAAAAGTAGGGTAGACGTGTGGAGATTATCCGGCTGAACAAAACATTTATCAAACAGGTTAGTTTTCCACAGATCTTATTTTTTATAATATTCCTAAATCCTCTGGAGAAATCCCGTTGGCTCTGAGACGAGGGAACCAGCCGCTTCCTTCAGGGTGGGACTACAGACACACGTCATCACTGCTCCGCTCTGTTGCCCGCTTCCCCACCAAGCCGGCTCCACGGCCAGCTGGGAGCTCGTGCCCAGTTCCACCTGCTGACCCTACTTTCAATACCCGCCTGTTCGCTGTTATCTCCACTTATGAAGAGCCACTTACGTTTGGAAGAGTTTTCCTGTTGTTTTAATTTGAGTAGTTGCCTGTGTTGATCAGGTGGAATCAGCACAGGTTGCCATGTCAGACGATAACAAGTAGAATCAGCACAGGTTGCCATGTCAGACGATAACAAGTAGAATCAGCACAGGTTGCCATGTCAGACGATAACAAGTAGAATCAGCACAGGTTGCCATGTCAGACGATAACAAGTAGAATCAGCACAGGTTGCCATGTCAGACGATAACAAGTAGAATCATGATGTGAAACACGACGGAGATGAAACAGAAACGCGTGCAGCTGGTTTGGTGGGAAAGAGGTAACGTCTCGGTCTTACGGCTTGCTTTCTTCCTCTCTGCTTTTCCCTCTTCTTCTTCTTCACTTTGATCTCCTTCCTCTTCCTCTCAGCAGGACAACAAGAGTTCTCCTCGTCTTCCTCCTGACCTGTTCAAAACTCTAGCAGATTTTGAGGAGGAGGAAGAGCTGGCGTTTTCTAAGCCTCCTGATTTCTTCCAGGCGTTGGCCGGTCCTCTTAGCTCTGCGCCTGGACCCAACATATTTGTATGTAGCCACCCCCCCCCCCCCCCCCCCCCACCACCATCTCATTCAGCCCCATCTGAAACCAGCTCATTCAGACACTTGTTAGTAACCAGTGGGGTCTTTACTGACGTGAGTGGGGTCTTTACTGACGTAGAATAATACGTTAAAGTCTCTTCACCACAGACCTGATTTCAGGATAACCACAAACATGTCAGGGTTTAGGACTCATCGTGCTGAGTCTCTCCATACACAGATGCAGCTCAGCTCTCCAGTGTGTGTGTGTGTGTGTGTGTGTGTGTGTTATTAATCTGTGTGTGTGTGTTATTAATGTGTGTGTGTGTGTTATTAATGTGTGTGTGTGTTTGTCCTTCGTCTCTGCAGCTGCCCAATCAGAACCGGATGGAGAGCGGCCCCGAGGTTGTCGGCCAATCATCTTCTCTGCTGCCTATGTCTGGGTTCCCCATGCAGGTCAGATTAACACACTCACACACATACAAACATACACACACACACATTAACACACACACACATACAAACACACACGGACTCATACACACACACACAATACCACACTCACATACAAACATACACACACACACACATTAACACACACACACACACATTAACACACACACACATACAAACACACACAGACTCTCATACACACACACAATACCACACTCGCATACAAACTCACAACCCTGTGTGTGACCCTCTGAGTGACCCTCTGAGTGACCCTGTGTGACCCTCTGTGTGACCCTCTGAGTGACCCTGAGTGACCCTCTGAGTGACCCTCTGTGTGACCCTCTGTGTGACCCTCTGTGTGACCCTCTGAGTGACCCTCTGAGTGACCCTGTGTGTGACCCTGTGTGACCCTCTGAGTGACCCTCTGAGTGACCCTCTGAGTGACCCTCTGTGTGACCCTCTGAGTGACCCTGTGTGACCCTCTGTGTGACCCTGAGTGACCCTCTGAGTGACCCTCTGAGTGACCCTCTGTGTGACCCTCTGTGTGACCCTCTGTGTGACCCTCTGTGTGACCCTCTGTGTGACCCTCTGAGTGACCCTCTGAGTGACCCTGTGTGCAGGAGTACAACCAGAACAGCATCTTCAGTCAGGCGTACGGGAAGAGCCTGCCTCCCAGCTCCAAGCCCGAAGCTCCCATGATGCACCAGGAGCCGTCGCTCTACTCCCTGTTCGAGGGCACGCCCTGGTCCCCCTCCCTCCCCGCCAGCTCAGGTGCGTCAGAAAGTCCGAACACTTTGAATCAGCAGGGTGATGTCACAGGGTGTGTCCAGGGACTGCAGATGAGAGAGAGCCTGTTGGCTAACTCAATGTGCACTGTCCCTGTCAAATGAAGTGTCACAGGGCATCTGATGTTGTTGTTTTTGTTGTTGTTGACAGATCACTCCACCCCTGCCAGCCAGTCCCCCCACTCCTCTAACCCCAGCAGCCTGCCCTCCTCCCCCCCCACCCACAACCACGGAGCCATGCCCTTCTCTAACTTCGGGCCCATCGGCACTCCGGACAGCCGGGACCGCAGGGTAGTGGACCGCTGGAAGGCCGACAAGACCGGTGAGGGGGGGGTCCGGGTTCTGGGGTTACAGGGGTTACAGAGTTCAGGGTTCAGGGGTTCCAGGCTTCAGGGGTTTAGGGGTTACAGAGTTCAGGGTTCAGGGGTTTCAGGGTACAGGGGTTACAGAGTTCAGGGGTTCCAGGCTTCAGGGGTTTAGGGGTTACAGAGTTCAGGGTTCAGGGGTTACAGGGTTCAGGGGTTTCAGGGTACAGGGGTTTCAGGGTTCAGGGGTTTCAGGGCACAGGGGTTTCAGGGTTCAGGGGTTACAGGGTTCAGGGGTTACAGGGTTCAGGGGTTACAGAGTTCAGGGGTTACAGGGTTCAGAGTGTGTGTTGGTTATTATATGTTCTGGTTCTGATGTGTTCTGGTTCTGATGTGTGTTCTGGTTCTGAGTTAGTGTTGGTTCTGATGTGTGTTCTGGCACTGATGTGTGTTCTGGTTCTGATGTGTGTTCTGGTTCTGATGTGTTTCTGTTCTTCAGGGTTCGGACTGGACTTCCTGCCAGCGCCGGCCTCTTCGGGGTCCGACAGCAGCTGGCATCAGGCCCCACCCCCCGGCAGCTCCTGGGCCAATCAGGAGTCTCCGATGGAGGAGTCGTCCACAGTGCTGCTCGACAGCCTCAAGGTCCATAGACACACACTCACTCACACTCACTCACTCACTCACACACTCACTCGCACACTCACTCGCACACTCACTCGCTCACTCACTCGCACACTCACTCGCACACTCACTCGCACACTCACTGACTCACACACTCACTCGCACACTCACTCACTCACACACTCACTCGCACACTCACTCACTCACTCACTCACTCACTCACTCACTCGCACACTCACTCACTCACTCGCACACTCACTCACTCACTCACTCACACACTCACTCACTCGCACACTCACTCGCACACTCACTCGCACACTCACTCACTCACACACTCACTCGCACACTCACTCACTCACTCGCACACTCACTCACTCACTCACTCACTCACTCGCACACTCACTCGCTCACTCGCACACTCACTCACTCACTCGCACACTCACTCACTCACTCACTCACTCACTCGCATACTCACTCGCTCACTCACACACTCACTCGCACACTCACTCACTCACTCACTCACTCACTCACTCGCACACTCACTCACTCACTCACTCGCACACTCACTCACTCACTCACTCACTCACTCGCATACTCACTCGCTCACTCACTCACTCACTCGCATACTCACTCGCTCACTCACTCACTCACTCACACACTCACTCGCACACTCACTCACTCACTCGCACACTCACTCACTCACTCACTCACTCGCATACTCACTCACTCACTCGCACACTCACTCACTCACTCACTCACTCACTCGCACACTCACTCACTCACTCACTCGCACACTCACTCACTCACTCACTCACTCACTCGCATACTCACTCACTCACTCACTCACTCACTCGCATACTCACTCGCTCACTCACTCACTCACTCACTCACTCACTCACACACTCACTCACTCACTCACATACAAAAAAACACACTCACATTTTTTTTTACCACTTTTTCAATCTTAATTCTTGTAGTTCTTTATTGTGTTGTATTAAACCTTTAGCTCCATGCTAATGCTAACATGTCTCCCCCCCCTCAGTCCATCTGGTCCGGCTCCATGCTGCAGACGGGCCCCTCGGCTCTGGAGCAGCTCCTCCAGCAGCAGAAGCAGAAGCAGCGCGGCGCCATGAACCCGCCGCACTGAAACCCAGCCGGGCGGCGCCGAGAGTCGCATCCAACGCACCCAACGGGAGGAGAGAGAACCGCCCAGTTTGACCCAAACCAGCTCCAACTCAAAAATGGGAAATTAAACCTTTAAAGCGAGAGAAAAGGTGGGAGGCTGGGGAGGCGAGGAGCCCCACGAGGACCGAGGACCAGAGGGCGGAAATATGAACATTGAGGAACATATTCGCCCCCAAAACTCACCATTGTAACCCCCAGAACTCACCATTGTAACCCCCCAACTCACCATCAGAGACCCCCCTTACTCCCCTGTTAAGGACAGATTCCTCCCTCACAGAAAAATAAATAAAAAACCTAGTGGGCGTCAACAGGTCCGGTTTGAGCGCCTGTTTTTAGCGTCTCAGCCGCCGCAGATTGACGTGAGGTGTGTGAGGGGGGGGGGGGCAGAAGGGGGGGGGGTCAGGTGAGGCACCAGGGGGGGGGGTCAACATAGACTTTCTGATCTCTTTATTCATTTTCATTGCTGAGAAGGAGGAAGGGAGGACGGACCGGGTTGGGGGGTCGGCTATATAAATATATCAGTCAGTATATTGCCATAGTTGGACTTTTTGAGCCTGAAACACCCAGCCCCCCCCCCCCCCCCCCCCAATGAAGAGTTCTGAGGGGGGGGGAAGACTCTGAGGTCACAGGGAGGAAAGCAGTCCGAGAGACAGATGGCTGACATGTTAAAAAAAAACACAAAAAAACGTAGCGATAGCATTAGCGTCAAGAGGTCGCAGATATTAACAAAAAAAATGAAATCTGGTGTTTTGTGATTTGTTCGTAGCAGTTTTAGCTTCTCGCCCTCCGAGGCCAACGCAGGTTTGTCTGTTCGCTTCCTGCTTGAATATTTTCGGGGTTCTCTTCCTCTCCGGACTCTACTTCCTGTTGTTTCTTTTACTTAACGGAGAATACAAAAAAAGAAACCCCCAAAACCCCTGCTCGCTTACTGACCCTGCATCCACTCCACGTTACTGTCCTGTCGCTGCAGACAGACGGGTCGTACCCTAAAACCACTTTTTATCAGCGTCTGCAGCTCTTTTCAAACAGTCCTGGGGAACCTGGGAGAACACGGAGAACCACGAAGAACCACGAAGAACCACGAACAGTGAGGAACCCTCTGAAGGTCTGAAAAGCTCTCGAGTCTCTGAAGAGCCCTTGAGTCTCTGAAGATCCCGAGTCTCTGAAGATCCCTTGAGTCTCTGAAAGCCCTTGAGTCTCTGAAGATCCCGAGTCTCTGAAGATCCCGAGTCTCTGAAAGCCCTTGAGTCTCTGAAGATCCCGAGTCTCTGAAGATCCCTCGAGTCTCTGAAAGCCCTTGAGTCTCTGAAGATCCCAAGTCTCTGAAGATCCCTTGAGTCTCTGAAGATCCCAAGTCTCTGAAGATCCCTCGAGTCTCTGAAGATCCCTCGAGTCTCTGAAGATCCCTCGAGTCTCTGAAGTTCCCTCGAGTCTCTGAAGATCCCTCGAGTCTCTGAAGATCCCTTGAGTCTCTGAAAGCCCTCGAGTCTCTGAAGAGCCCTTGAGTCTCTGAAGATCCCTTGAGTCTCTGAAGATCCCGAGTCTCTGAAAGCCCTTGAGTCTCTGAAGATCCCTCGAGTCTCTGAAAGCCCTGGAGTCTCTGAAGATCCCTCGAGTCTCTGAAAGCCCTTGAGTCTCTGAAGATCCCGAGTCTCTGAAGATCCCTCGAGTCTCTGAAGGCCCTCGAGTCTCTGAAGAGCCCTTGAGTCTCTGAAGATCCCTTGAGTCTCTGAAGATCCCTTGAGTCTCTGAAGATCCCGAGTCTCTGAAGATCCCTCGAGTCTCTGAAGGCCCTCGAGTCTCTGAAGAGCCCTTGAGTCTCTGAAGAGCCCTTGAGTCTCTGAAGATCCCTTGAGTCTCTGAAGAGCCCTCGAGTCTCTGAAGATCCCTCGAGTCTCTGAAGATCCCTCGAGTCTCTGAAGAGCCCTCGAGTCTCTGAAGATCCCTCGAGTCTCTGAAGAGCCCTCGAGTCTCTGAAGATCCCTCGAGTCTCTGAAAGCCCTTGAGTCTCTGAAGAGCCCTTGAGTCTCTGAAGATCCCTAGAGTCTCTGAAGAGCCCTTGAGTCTCTGAAAGCCCTTGAGTCTCTGAAGAGCCCTTGAGTCTCTGAAGATCCCTCGAGTCTCTGAAGATCCCTCGAGTCTCTGAAGTTCCCTCGAGTCTCTGAAGATCCCTCGAGTCTCTGAAGATCCCTTGAGTCTCTGAAAGCCCTCGAGTCTCTGAAGAGCCCTTGAGTCTCTGAAGATCCCTTGAGTCTCTGAAGATCCCGAGTCTCTGAAAGCCCTTGAGTCTCTGAAGATCCCTCGAGTCTCTGAAAGCCCTTGAGTCTCTGAAGATCCCTCGAGTCTCTGAAAGCCCTTGAGTCTCTGAAGATCCCGAGTCTCTGAAGATCCCTCGAGTCTCTGAAGGCCCTCGAGTCTCTGAAGAGCCCTTGAGTCTCTGAAGATCCCTTGAGTCTCTGAAGATCCCTTGAGTCTCTGAAGATCCCTTGAGTCTCTGAAGATCCCGAGTCTCTGAAGATCCCTCGAGTCTCTGAAGGCCCTCGAGTCTCTGAAGAGCCCTTGAGTCTCTGAAGAGCCCTTGAGTCTCTGAAGATCCCTTGAGTCTCTGAAGAGCCCTCGAGTCTCTGAAGATCCCTCGAGTCTCTGAAGATCCCTCGAGTCTCTGAAGAGCCCTCGAGTCTCTGAAGATCCCTCGAGTCTCTGAAGAGCCCTCGAGTCTCTGAAGATCCCTCGAGTCTCTGAAAGCCCTTGAGTCTCTGAAGAGCCCTTGAGTCTCTGAAGATCCCTAGAGTCTCTGAAGAGCCCTTGAGTCTCTGAAAGCCCTTGAGTCTCTGAAGAGCCCTTGAGTCTCTGAAGATCCCTCGAGTCTCTGAAGATCCCTCGAGTCTCTGAAGTTCCCTCGAGTCTCTGAAGATCCCTCGAGTCTCTGAAGATCCCTTGAGTCTCTGAAAGCCCTCGAGTCTCTGAAGAGCCCTTGAGTCTCTGAAGATCCCTTGAGTCTCTGAAGATCCCGAGTCTCTGAAAGCCCTTGAGTCTCTGAAGATCCCTCGAGTCTCTGAAAGCCCTTGAGTCTCTGAAGATCCCTCGAGTCTCTGAAAGCCCTTGAGTCTCTGAAGATCCCGAGTCTCTGAAGATCCCTCGAGTCTCTGAAGGCCCTCGAGTCTCTGAAGAGCCCTTGAGTCTCTGAAGATCCCTTGAGTCTCTGAAGATCCCTTGAGTCTCTGAAGATCCCGAGTCTCTGAAGATCCCTCGAGTCTCTGAAGGCCCTCGAGTCTCTGAAGAGCCCTTGAGTCTCTGAAGAGCCCTTGAGTCTCTGAAGATCCCTTGAGTCTCTGAAGAGCCCTCGAGTCTCTGAAGATCCCTCGAGTCTCTGAAGATCCCTCGAGTCTCTGAAGATCCCTCGAGTCTCTGAAGAGCCCTCGAGTCTCTGAAGAGCCCTCGAGTCTCTGAAGAGCCCTCGAGTCTCTGAAGATCCCTCGAGTCTCTGAAAGCCCTTGAGTCTCTGAAGAGCCCTTGAGTCTCTGAAGATCCCTTGAGTCTCTGAAGAGCCCTTGAGTCTCTGAAAGCCCTTGAGTCTCTGAAGAGCCCTTGAGTCTCTGAAGATCCCTCGAGTCTCTGAAGATCCCTCGAGTCTCTGAAAGCCCTTGAGTCTCTGAAGAGCCCTTGAGTCTCTGAAGATCCCTCGAGTCTCTGAAGATCCCTCGAGTCTCTGAAAGCCCTTGAGTCTCTGAAGAGCCCTTGAGTCTCGGCCTCCTGTCTTCAGATCAGAGACGCAGCTTCAGCTGGATCTCCATCATGGGTTCCTCTGCTGAAATGGATCCACGGAGGGAACCGGGACGTCTTTCCTCGGATCAGCTGTTCAAACCCCCCCGGATGAGTCTTAGTGTAGAACCATAGGAGGAAATAACAACCCCATAATATTCACATTTAAAGCTCGGGACGTAAATCCATGACTTCTGCCTGTTTTCTGTCGTTTGTGTTTAGAATAACGTTAGAGCTGAAAGCGTCTCTTTTATTAACCCTTTGTCTTCAGAGTGTGTGAGTTCAATAAAGGTTCCTGAGGGGTTTTATTTCTTTGGCTTCACACCTGTAATCTGAGAGCCAATCAGAGAGCAGAGAGTGACAACTGACCAATCAGGACGCAGCACTGTAAGTAACTTCCTGTCCAGTTTTTCTACACATCGTTTTGTTCCTAAAGGGATTTAAAAAAATTCAATACAAAGGCTGTTTTTATTAAAGCAGGCTTCAGAGAGACGTCTATTTTCCGTGTGATTGTGCTTTTCATGTTGCATTTACAAAATGTATTTGAAATAAAGATATTAATGAATGTGAGGCGCTGTGGAGGAGCTGCTTTGTGAGTAAAAGACTCTTTAAATAAACCCAACTGTCTCCTCGCACCGTCGCACTGTTTTTATTTCAAGCTACATTTCAACACATATATCCACTAAGATGAATACATGAAGACTTGTGACTCCGACTCGACTCGGACACTCCTTGGGTGACTTGGACTTGGACTCGAACACAGGTTATGATGACTCGGACTCGAACACAGGTAATGATGACTCGGACACTCCTTGGGTGACTTGGACTCGGACTCACAGGTAATGATGACTCGGACTCGACTCGGACACTCCTTGGGTGACTTGGACTCGGACTCACAGGTAATGATGACTCGGACTCGACTCGGACACTCCTTGGGTGACTTGGACTCGGACTCGGACTCACAGGTTATGATGACTCGGACTCGACTCGGACACTCCTTGGGTGACTTGGACTTGGACTCGGACTCACAGGTAATGATGACTCGGACTCGACTCAATAATATTTGTGTGTAAATTGTAAATATAAAACACCTCCAATACAAACTCCTGGTCCTCACCTACAAAGCCCTCCACCACCTGGCCCCCCCCCCCTACCTCACTGACCTCCTCATCCTCTACCAACCACCCCGGTCCCTCAGATCCACCTCAGCCGGTTTGCTTTCCATCCCCAAGGCCAAACTCCGGAGCTTTGGGGACAGAGCATTCTCTGTGGCAGCCCCGAAGCTCTGGAACTCCCTCCCCCAAGACCTCCGTGAGTCTGAGTCCCTCACCCTGTTCCAGTCCCGCCTCAAAACCCATCTCTTCAACTCTGTATATCCATAAGCCCCCCCCTCCCCTCTCAACCAACTTCCTCCTGACTGCTTTTCTGTTTTTTTTTGTTTTGTTTTTCTGTTTTGTTGTTTTATTGCCTGTCCTTGTTTGTCTACCCTTCCCCAAATGTAAAGCGTCTTTGGGTTTAGAAAAGCACTATAAAAATAAAATGTATTATTACCTTCCACCAAAAACACTTTGCAAATGTAAAACGGATCTGCAAATACGCCAAATAATTCCACACATTTTTTTTTTTTGTGAATATCTCTAACATGTACGACTTTCCATCAGGAAAATCAAAAATCTGAATTTTTTTTATTTTCATTTAAAAGTCAACATTTTGTGATTTTGGTGAAAAAAATCTAAATTTTGAAATTTCAGAAAAAGTCAGAATTCTTTTGATTTTCAGAAAAAAAGTCAGGAATGTGAGATCTTCAGAATAAGTC